TATCCCAAACACTCAGCTTCAAACAAGGTCCTCAAATGAGGAGGGACACGAATTAAAAAGAGAGGAGTTAGATAAGCCTCCTTTGCCAACGAATCTGCAAGTTGATTCTGCTCCCTGGGATGTTCCGTATTTCCAGTTCCAGTCATTCTTCATTAACTCTCTTATTGGAGACAAAGTAGGCTCTCCGTATTGATGCCTTTTTTCTTCAACAAATCAATTGATATTTTGGAATCAGATTCCAAAATCACCTTCTTGAAACCAAGATCCCAGGCTAATTTAAGCCCCTTAAAGATAGCCCATTGTTCAGCCTCCATAGCAGTGCAAAAACACAATGAAATGAGAAAATCCTGCTATCCATGTACCATTACTATCTCTTAGGGACTCGCCACACCCAGTTTTCTCAAATTTGCAGTCATGGCACCGTCCACATTAACCTTTATCTATCCGGCAATTGGGGGACTCCAAGAAATCGCAGTTGCAATAGTCTTAGCAACTTATTATCATCCTGCAATATTACATAATTTCTCCACCCATTCTCAATTACAGCATACGGTTCACATGGTTTCTGAAATTCAGTGTTAAAAATCATCTCAGAATAATAATATAGCTTTTGGCAACAAAATGGGAGTGTTACTAGTGGGCGCTAGGTAGTGTGTGGGCTGGTGGGGTGTTAATGCAGACAAAAGAGTGACCATAAACTAAAAAATTTCCAGGTCTCGGGGGGCAATAAAGTGGCGTTCCCTTGAAGTGATAATCTTACATTTAACAGAACATAACATCCTTGAAGATACATTTTACTCGGATTTAGTATACAAGTATGTCTATTTTACAAAATGTAAGAATCGAAAGCAAGAATACGAAAAATCGATCAAATGATTAACATCGTCAATATTAAAGAGTAAAAGGTTCCCCAAGTTTAGCAGGCCCGGTGTACATTCCAGGAAATCATGAGATCACCAAGACCCTTAGCTCACCTCTATCTCCTCTAGTAACGCGGGTATCTGAATCAAGATACGTCACTTCAAATCACCACTTCCAGTGTTAGATGGAGGCCTAAATTGATCTGGAATTCGAGGTATCTCAAATGGTGGCAATTGCGACAGGTTCCCAGTTGCCTTCACAGTAGTTTTTTCAAAATTTATTTTTATCTTTGAAGATCCTGCAGTTATAAGAAAACACCCACAGCAGAATCAGATAGTATCTGAGATTGAAAGATAGTCATTTCTGGCAAATAGCAGTCGTACAAAATATTATAGAAAAGATAGGCATAGATTATAACCGATGAGACACAAAACGATAATAACCAACCTATGAGTTCAAATTTATGAGCTAATGTGGCTGTTACTTCGACAGGTGGAAGGGCCATGGAGCACCCGTTGAAGCTCCACTATATTATCAAAATCCTTGCTCAGGATATCAATTCGTTGAAAAACCTGTCAGCAAAGCAAAATATACGCTCGGTAGACTTAACCATTGATGAGAAATTGTAGAGCCAGAAGCAAAATCAAACAAGCAAGCAATATCAGTTTCTCAGACTCAGCTGTATGCGCAAATTGATACATGTCATCCAGAAGAATATGGCTCAGTAGCCATCAGAATTTTGAAAAAAAATATAATAGAAACTCAGTCACGTAAAGCTCTAACAGTATTATAATTAAGGGAAACACGTCACAGAGCAAAAATGAATTACCATAGTAACATTTATGTTAAGGTACCTGACCAAGCGTTATAGGAAGAAGCCTCCAGTTGGAGGGCCAGGACGGCTCCCACCTAGTGTACGAGATGAGAAGGCACTGCTATAAATCAGTTTCCACCTCCCTTGCAATTTATCCAGGTCAACTGTCAGATCTACCAGTCCTCCAACACTTTCAAGATCCTTAGCTGCAGCATCTGCCTTTCGTAGATCATCTTCATTAGCAGGCAAGACCTCTATTTAGCCCAGAAATAGCACTGCATTAATAAAGACAAGTCTTGGTACAAATACATAAAAAGGAATAATGATAAAAGTCAGAGTTTTGAGTAGAGCATCATGTTTACGAGTGCCCAGGCATTAGGAATTTATGCAGGACCTCTGCTGTATGAGCAACATATTTTACTGCATTCGGACCACTAACGGCCTTAGATAAGTTGGACACCTGTTGGACCCCAACACTACCAGCATGGGATGTATCGGGAAAAATTCAGCTCATATGCATACAGAATATGGATGGCCCAAGGGGGGAAAGGATGCAATGGAACCAGAAAACCATCTTGATAGATAACAGAAATCCTCCTTTAACGTCAACACATCAGCATCCACCGTATACAAAACTACAACCAGAGATAACATTATGCTCAATAGGCAATGAATGAATAATGGGGTATATGAGTTAAATCTATATAATCCATCGAGTTTTATCAGCATCCTAATAAAAAAAAAACTGACAATGTTTGTTCTCATTTGGCATGTTGCCATTGCAGGAACCGAAACACACATCAAATTAAAGAGTGGAAGTAAAATACATATAATTTGTCGTCTCCAAACTCAGTTCAGCGTCACACTGGCTTCAGTTGCACATGAGATTCATCAGTTTATTACTATACAATCAGCATGCATAAGGACTACAGCTTTCAGTGAAACAAGATATCAGTGCAAAGTAGCAGCCATGTCAGCTGGATAGCAGAGCTCCTAATTTAAAAAAAAAAATGCCCAATTCAAGTCTGTAGCTTCCAAACTGCTCGATCAAGAGAAAGCAAATTTCAAAATATTTCAGATTCTCCAGCGGCTCAGTTTAATAACATTATTCAACTCAAAGGAGGACAAGTAAAAGAAAGGCGAGAACCCCAAGATCAAGAAAGGGGCATTTCCGCAACCTAGCGGACAAGCTAATACTATATTGAATCGTTTACAAAAATATTCTCAATTACAACTAAACAGTATTGGAAGAGGCGAATGGAAGAGAAAAAGGGAATCTGGGGGTCGATCGAAGATACACGAGTTTTATAATGGAGGAAAGAACCCACCAGTAAATTGAGCTTCAGAGAAGCGATAAGATCTGCCGGCGGGCCTCCGTTTCCCGGAGACCGTGAAGGAGGCGAAGGAGTGTCAGCGACAGAGACTTGGTCCGCAGCCGAATTCAGAACAAGGCTTCGCTTGCGGCGGCTCTGGGAATGTTGCCACAGAGACGATTGGAGAATGCCCTTTGCATTGCAGGGAATTAAATTCCTGACAGGGGAAGAGGAGGAGGAGGGAGGATGTTTAAGCGGTGAGAAATGGAGCTAGGAGATTGGGGAAGAACAGCGAGGGAAGCATGGCCATCCAGGAGCTGGTTAACAAGTCGGAAGAGGAGAGCGAAACCGAAGGAGGGGGAATATTCGCAGTGGTATCGAGATTTTCGTGGGACGTTCTGAGTGTGAGAGTGAGAGAGAAGCACTGGCTGATGGATGAGGAAAAGCGACAAAGAATGAAGATGACGGCTCAACTCATACGCCGCTTCATAGGGCGCCACGTAGCGCTCGAAATCCAATGGGTCCCCGTCTCATGTACAAATAGTCAGATAGTACATAACGTACTTTTTTTTGCAATAAAAAAAAGCTATTGGATCTCGCATTCAGCATTTCAGCTACGTCCCTTTATTCAACTCTACAAGTAGGGTGGAAAAACACGCAACACAGCCTGTCAGGGGCCTATGGCCTGGCCTGCATTTGGTCTGGCCTAGCCTGGCCTGTTTTTCAAAAAAGACAGGCTCAGGCCTATTTGAAGGCCTGTTTAGTTAAACAGGCCAAGCTTAGGCTTTTTAAAAAGCCTGTTTAAGCCTGTTAGGCTGGCTTGGGCCTGTTATGAATTTATAATCATAATATATGAAAAAATTAATTAATGCTATTATTGTTAATGTGCTCTTTTAATTTATTTTTTAATTTTAATATATAGTTAATAGCTTAATCTTTTCTTAGATTTTGAAGTTTAGATGACAAGTGAAGATAAAAATATAATTTAAAATAATAATATCAATAAATATGTGATTTTTAAATCTTAAAAATATAAAGAAAATAGGAAAGAAAATTTTGTTCCAAGAATAAAATTAACTAACTTACGTATTATGTTAATTTAAGTATGATACCCTCTTTATTCATTATAAAATTAGTATTCTTTCTTCTTTATTTATTTGTCTTAATTTTAATTTTTTGTGTGTACTTAAACGTAGTCTTATTCCAAATTTTAACATATAATTACAATTATTTTTCAATGATATTCTTATAAATTATAATTAAGATTTAAAATAGTACTTATGATACTAAAATTTAAATAAAAGACAAGACTAAAAATTTAATTATTATGTACGTTTTTTTTAATATTAGCTTTTTTAAAAAAATAATTATTATAATTTGAATTTTTTAAAAATACAGGCCTTTTAACAGGCTTCAGGCCAGGCCAGGCCTTTATACAGGCCAGGCTCAAGCTGAAAAATAAGCCTGTAACAGGCCACAGGCCAGGCTCAAGCCAATAGGCTCCAAAACAGGCCTGGCCTGTTAAGAGCAAAGCCTGACCTGGCCTAGCCTGTTTCCACCCTTATCTACAAGCCTCCGTTCATCTTGCGTGCTGCTTGGTTTTTCAGATGAGCTATTCTTTACATAGGGTGCGTTTGTTTTGATACATTTCCTCCTGCCGCCGCTAGTATAAAAACTATTTAAAAATTTAATTTAATTTTAAATATAAAATCTCAATTTATTTTATTTTTTATTTTTATCTATTTTGTCCCTAATTAATCTTCATGTTAATTGCATGTGTTAAGAAATCTTCATCAAAAGGTAGTTTTAATGTACATTATTAATATCATAGGACAACATCTATTTATTATAAATGACTAACTTAACTAATTTTTTTAATATTCATGATTAATTGTTTGGCTTTTATATTAAGAACCAGAAATAGTAATTTTTTGTTAGGTAAAATATACTACCTCCGATTTTTAATATGAGAAATAGTTAAATAATTTGAGTAGATTGAAAAAATTAGTCAAGTTAGTTATTTGTAATAAATAAGTGTTGTTTTTCTTAAAACACTTTTGTTAATTATGTGTATTAGCTAGAATTACTATTTGATAAGATTTTTGCATTTATAACTACTACAAGGACTATCTTAAAAAAAGATAAATATGAGAGACAAGATGAATTTGAATATTATATTTAAGATCAAATTAAATGTCAAATTAGTTTTTCTATTAAGTACTATAAGCAATAATTTCTTTCACTTTTTTGAAAGGATGATAATTAGCTTATTATGCTTCGTTGGTAAAATAACATATTAATTCATGGCAAGCAGTTATCTATGCAAGTTTAAGAAAAAAAATTTAGCAGATTGTGTAACATAAGACCTCAGAGTATAAAGGTTAGAATTGAGACCCCACTCAATTTTAACAATGTGGAAGGTAGTACTCCTTCCTGTTCAAAATATAAGCTAAACTTTGTTGGAGGGGTTTGATTTTTTTATAAAATAACATTTATTTTTGTATAAACACTCGATGAGTCTTTTTTTTTCAATTTTATCCACATGTATTCTCTTTGCTTTTTGATTCGTTTATTGTATTTTTTATTTATTCTCTTCATTAATAAGAATATATTTTAAAAAAAATTATATGCCTTACGTATTTACTGTTTTAAACTGATTTTAACTAATTTTTTTATAAACGTAAATATATAAGGTTTAACTTATATTTTGAATCAGAAGTGCTTTATAAAACAGCCATGCCTTGTGGAAGGAGCACTGACACATGAGGAGGGTTAGGTAAAAGAAATAGATATATTCTTCCGATTCAAAATATAAAACCCTTATATTAGAGTATATAAGAGTTTTATATTTAGGACTGAATGAGTATTTTAATTCAGATTTTTTAAAAACAAGAAGTGCATGGGTAAGTTTATTTGTGTACCTCTCTCTTTTTTCTTTTTCTTTTTTCTTTTTATAAAAAAACCAGGCTCTATTTAATGCGTTTCCGACTCTATCAGGTCAAGTTAAATGCACATACGGCAACAACCAAACATGCTGGTCAAATTATATAAGTATATCATGGGTATTGTTAATGGGTTTTTACGGCGGGAGAAAAAGGCAGCCACTTTTCGCACTAGGGGTGAAAATAACTCAGGCCAAGTTTTAGTTAAATAAGTATGAGCGTGTAACATATATCTAAAGTCCGAGTCAGTATTAAAACTTTTGTTTAGACTTAAGCACCAACTTTCAAAATGCCAGACAAAGCTTATAAACTTTTTAAAGACCTACGTAAAATATAAATATCTAAAACAAGCTTAAAAGCCTTCATCTCCAAATTCACGTGTAACCATTCAAGCATGTTTAAAAATCTACATTATGCCTTAAAAACCTAGGATTCATTATCCCACGTACTATAAGATATTAATAAGAGAAAGAAAAAATGCACAGTAACAATAGTCGTTTGAGTACGTAAAAATAAGAAAACTTAATCACTTGTTTACTCCGGAGATTTTTTTTTTTTTAAAAAAACCAACTCAAATATAACAAGCTCTATGTCAACTTAGATTTCGCCTTTTCCCATATAAATCAGGACAAACGCTTCCTATCGGGATTCTAATGATTCATTTTGTCTAATACTTTAGGGTTCGTTTAGAACAGTTTATAAGTAGCTTTTCAATCGTGATTTACGAAATACAAGGTAAATATGTGAAAGGAGTTTTGTCTCAGTTTACGTAAAACGTGCTTATAAATTATTTCAATCGTGATGACCAATAGAACCTTATTATGCTTTAGTAAACAATGCAAGTAAAGAAATAGGGAATGAGTTAGCATTGCCATCTTGACAGCCAAAGAGAAAAGGCATGGAGGCAAACAATTGGTAATTGAAAGGGTTCAGTTTGTGTGAGAACGATGAGATATGAGACTTGAAGTTAAGGTCAAA